TAAAAGAGTTGTATTTCTACAGATGAGCTGATCTGGGGGTTTGTCCTTTGATCTCGCTATCTTTAAAGCACATTGCAAAAAACTGAAGAGATTGTGGCCTCTTGGAAAAGCTTTTACGGCATCAAATGAGAGCCCTCCTCTGACTTTGAAGATATCCTGCAATCAATTAAGAAGGACCTAAATGATGTTGGAGTGAGTCAGGAGTTTTGCAGAATAACTGGCAAGCTTCCAATTAGAGAGAATCACTGGGAATATGATAAAACAGAGAGGATTAGCCATCCCCATTAAAGACAACAGCATTAGGAGCTGTTTTCAAAACACCAGAGCTTCTTCTTGCCTAATGCTTTCAAAGTTGCTGTTCTCAGCTAAACCAATGAGTTGTTCCGTCTTTATTTTTAGTATGGAAAATTCAAAATAGACTTAAAAAAGTTCTCTGAAGTCATATGCGCAATTCAAAATGCGAAGACTACATCTTGAAACAAGTGCCTATTGCCTTTTCCTTGTGAGGTTAGATAAGCCTAATCTAAAGTACTATGGAAGATGAAGAAGGATATTTTAAAACCTTTTTCCTTTGCTTTATGGTGATGTAAAGGACTGTTGGAGATAGAAAGCAGCAGTGGTCTGGATCTTTCACACCCAAACTTCCCACTGAGGAAATAATCTTGCTTTCAATCAGTGCCTGACCAATTTCTCCACTGATCTGAAAATCTAAGATAGCTTCTGTGTATGTAGCAGGCTATGTCTGTGCTCCCAGAAGGGATAGCAGATTTGCTTTAGCTCACCACAGAAAAGCTATTCACCCATGCTGCATCTTCTTAAGCCAAGGCCCTACAAAACTCCTTATAGCATGCATTTGGAAAATATAAGACTTTGCAAACCTTCATATCTGCAAAGAGAAATACCTAGGAGTTGGGAGCAAAGTGGAAGCTTCCTCCCTCCCTCCCTGCACCCTCTCTTTCCTCCTCCTTTCTCTCCTCCCCAAAATAAACTGGCATTTTGCTCTGTTGTCACTGAACTAAGTGAGAACTGTATTGGTCCCTATGATTTGGTTATATCTGGGATTGTTTTAATCTGCCTTCCCGTAGTAAGGCTCTACTCCCTGTAATATCACCAGGCATTTAAAAAGACTAAAGGCTCCCAGGGTTGCAGCTGGCAGATATTCATACGGGAGTCACAGAGAATTTCCCCCACTACCGCAGATCCTCTTATCTGGTTCATTATCAATAGAATCCCCTGTACACTAAAATGCAGAACAGCAAAATACTCAGGCGTGTACTTAGAATAAGCTCATGTTTACATGATTTGCTGGATGAAGACCTGGAGACAAAGGCTGTCACAGAGAAACTATGTGGTGCCATATGGACATTTTCTCAATTGTCACATTTCTCCCAGATCTATACATACTTTCTGGGCTGAAAGCTGAAGAAGGATGGATTATGTACACTTTAACAGCCCTTTTACTTCTCTATTGAGCCAATAGTACAATCTATTTAAGCTTTACCATATGGCTCTGAGTCCTAGCAAAGGGGAGAGGTTGAGAATGAATGGTGTAGCCTACAGCTGAATGGGAAGTCCTAAACTTTATTTTTAATAAAAATAAAATAAAAAATAAACAGAACCAACAAATGGGAAAGCAGGTTGTGACTGGGAAGATTTTTGATTCCAGTCTGTATAGCAAATGATCTTCAGCTATGTGAAGCAGATAAAAAGCGACTGCAGATTTCAGCAGTGCCCTGTCAAGTAGGTTAGCAAAATAAGGACAGATGGCAAAGGATTACATCTAATTCTTTCTCCTAATTCATCTTTTCCAGATCATTCCACTGCACTCAGTATAACTAGAGATTTACCAGCTTAACTTGCTCCCTATAGCTCCTAGTGACAACCCACATAGTATAGATTTGTGAATTCCCATCACTGGGAACGTTCAATTGGACTCAACTGCTTTTCACCCGCTGCCTTGAAATGTGCTTCTGAGGGAAGGATGTTTAGTGTTAGAATGGCAACTTTATTTTTAAAGCAAACATCCTATAAAGCACACAGATAGCAGTGTGTTTGTGATGAATGTAGCCATCCTGCTCAAAGAAGGACTTCAGACAGAGCATCACTTACCCAGGTGTGGGTAGTGTCACTGCGCAATGCTAACGGTACTGTCCTAAAGATACCTTACTGTTTCTTTTTGTTTTGCATTATCTCTTTTATCAGGTAGCTCCTGAGCATTCTTCCTTCATGCTCCCTTTCTTGCTAGAGCAGATAATAAAGGTAGCTGTGCAGCACAGCCCAGATAAAGCTGAAAGCATGCGGTCCATCACTGAGTGCAAGAGGGCCGGTTCTGCAGCCACAGCTTCTCATTACCTGCCCGATTCTGCTCTTCCCCCTTCCCCACTCAAATATTTAAAGCTATTTTTGGAAAATTCTCAGGGTTTTTTGATGTCTCTGATTTCAAATGCTTGGCTTGATATACACTTCCAGGTGACAATAGCTCCTTACAAAGTCGGTGGGGAACTGCCAGTATTCGGCACCTTCCTCATCGGAGTTCAGGGTCTCCTGAAAGCAATGGGGGAGGAAGGATCTAGTACACAGCCTGTGCTGCCTCTCTGCCTCTCCTAATTGCATTTACACCTTCATCTGTACTAGCACCTCTTGAAAATTACAGATCTGGTCTCTCTTTTAGATAGCCCTTTTGATTTTCTCTGCGTTTATCATTCTTCTCTTTGCGTTTCTTACTTTCTCTAGTTAAAAATCCAGGAAATGGCAGTTATCTTCTTCTCCTATTCTTTTTCTTTTCCTTTCCTTTCTTTTTCTCCACGGTCACGTACTTTCTTTTCTCCAGAAAATTAAACTGGAAGGCACTTGTCAGTGACAACAGCACCATCTGCTGTTGTGCAGAGATGAGGAAGCCTTCACTCACGTTTCTGAACAAAACCCACTGCACGTTATGAACTGTGCAGAATTACCTGGAAATGTGCAGGTGATGGTACAAGACTATCTTTCTTCACGAGAAGGGAGATATTTAATGTGATCCAAAACTACCACCAAAACTAAGCTTTTTCAAAGACATCTGTACGGCCTTGCTCTAATGATCTATCACGGTGGCTCAGCTCAGCAGTGACCTTCCAGAATTGTACCTGGGGATTTCCAAAACTTTGAAATACCTGTCTGTAGTTTAGACTGCAATTTTGTCTATGACCCTTTTCCAATATAACTGAGTGCTGGAATGGTCATCACTGGACTGTTTCTCACACAGGATTGCCTGATTGTGTGATTACAGGGGAAAACATTTACATCAGAACAAGGTTCCAGTTTACTAAGAGAGCATGCACCTAACTAGGGCACTGATTTTCTAACTAGAGGCATGAGGAAGGAACCTTAGCCCTCTTGTAGTGCTAAAAAGGTGTAGCATAACAAGTTACTTAAAAAAAAAAAAAAAAAAAAAGGTAAAAAAAATACTGAAATCCAATAAATATTGTTAAGTACGTGAGTTGTAAAATCAGCCCGAGCTCGGTCAGCTAGTTGCCATGTGCTGGAAACCCTAATCATCAGCAAAGGCAGTGTTATAGTAGTTCAGACGTGAATCAACACTAATATGCATTTCTCATCTCTGTGCTGCCTCCCAGAGGCTGAGTAATAGTATTAAACAGCACGGACAAGCTGCTTACGGGAGAGGAGAGTGCAGTAAGCCCTTCATCTGTTATGGGGTGTTGAGAAGTGTTTTGTGGCCTATAGATAGTAGTGGCCTGTGACAAGGACACGTCCAGACTGGCCATTTATTTCAGGGCTGTCTGCTGCCATTGTGGACTGGTTTTGATGTTTCAAGTAATACCTCTCAGTCCCAGGTTTCCAAAGCAGATTAATCAGAATGAGGGTGGATATCTCAGGTAGCAGAGGTAAAGAAAACAGCTGCAGTTTAGTAAACAAACAGCACAACAAAATACAACTAACCAACCAACAAACAAATGAAAAGCAACCAAGGTATTTCAGCCTTTGATCTAAGCAGTATGCTGAGGCTGGAGGGGACCTGGATAGATGAGGAACTACAGAACATCTTTCAAATAGAAGTGCAGAGGGTGGGATGCTCTGAGTGCCGGGGTTGGTACATTAAGGCTAGGGTGAAAAGGATTTGGGATCCCAGAGGTGCCTGCAACTGGCAGGCTGGGGCCCGGGAGCAGGGCTGTCTTGGAAATAAGGGTGGAAAAGAATAGGATTGGGAGGTGGGGAAAACAGAATGGGACATGGTGTTTGGTGAGGTAGGGCTACGTGTTGGGAGTATAGAGCTGGAAGGCACAAATTCAGGGTTCTGAGCACTAAGGAGTGTGGTGTGGGGGTGTGAATGCTGTAGCTCTTGCCACCTGAAAATTATAAAATGTTGCTTCTTGGAAGAGGATTTTGAACAATCCCCAACATACAGCAGAAGTATCGAGCTCAGACTGTGGAAAAGTCATCATGTTCATGGAGTGTCTACTGAAGTATAAAATTTGTGGAACCTTCTCTTGGCATTTGGCAGAACCACCACTACTGTTCCTATTGTTAACATACTGCTAATAGCAAACGTAAAGCTTGCTACGTATGGACTGACTAGATTGTTAGGTATTATCGAGTGTCTTTCTGCTGCATTCAGCACCAGCCAAGAAGGGAAAAATATTTCCTTTTGATGATACCTATTGTTCCTTTTTGCTCTCTTAACTCCGTAACCACTTTTTTTTTTTTTTTTTTTTTTTTTTTTTTCCCTGCATCACATTCTGCTCAGATGCTCCCCAGCCTAATCTCCCATGGGCTTAATTTCTCACCCACTTCTTTTTGTCTGAAAAAATGATCTGCAGTAAACCAGTCCAAATTTAAATGCTGATGTTTAAGTTGATGTAATAGGGCTTTAGAATTGGCACCCCATTGTCATAAAAATAATAGCAAGGATGAAATCAGGCAATAATGGAGACCAGCAAAGCACCTAGTATTTTATTGTATTGATTATTACATGTTGTACAGACCTTTAATGCTTCATTCAGTTAAGTCCTACAGGTGCCTGGAAGAGAAGACAGATTGAAATAAAGAAATGACCCCTTTTCAGGACTTATTCAGACCTGCTGAAAGAAACACCCACAATTCATCTTGACTGCATGATGTAAGAAATGAAGAACTTTGAAGAAAGACATCAGAGCAACTGGAAGAGCAGACAAAATGTATTATGGCATGAAAGAGATTTCAGCTGCAAGCATCCCATTTAGTAATTTTGTATATTCTGTCATTCCTCCTCTGAAAAAATGTCGTTTTTTGGGGTTTGTGTGTGTGTGTGTGTGTGTGTGTGTGTGTGTGTGTGAAACAAAGCGCTATATTTTACTTTACATTTAAATAAATGTATGAATTTCAATTGTTCTCTTAAGCTTTTTCTGGATTATGTATTTTATATGTAACTAAATACACGCAGACTGTGAAGGCATATGGAAACCACGTTAACTAGCAGGTCTAAAATAGTTCTTTTTCCCCTTCTTTTTCTGGAATTTACCTCATAGGCAGTCAGTCACACTATAGGTCCCTTGCAGTAACAAGCTTCAGCTCTTCTGCAGTCAGTAGACTCTCAAAGATCACAAATTTCAAAAATGTATCGGGGAAGTGTGTAGCCAGGGAAAGGAGAGAGACTATACTTGTGTGATTTGGAGAAAAAGATCAAGTGGGAGCTCACAGTGAAAACTTCAAGAGGCCTTTTTCATTAGATGCCTGAGAAGTTAGCCATGGTAACTCCCATATCCATCAGAAACTGTGCTTTCCTAGTGCTGCTGTGCAGGGAATCTGCTGTCCTTTGCTTTCATGGGACCAGAAAGTTCCACGTTTGCCTCTCTCTGTGACATCTTCCCGGAGAGCAGTCTGTGACCATTTTCGAAGTGCTGTGAAAAAAAAGATAGAAATTAGAAATTACACCCCCTGGAAATCAGCCTGCTTTCCTTTTTCCCTTTTGGCTACATCAAACTGCCCTGGTCCCCACGCCAGCTGCTGGCACACAGCTAAGGAGCTAACGGCATGGTGCCAGTGCCCTGTTTTCCTACAGTTTTCCCGGGGCAGATGCAGGGCATTCAGGTAGGCTTCACAGCCACGACTATGGGTCAGATCTTGAAACTAGAAAGTGTTTTATGGGGCAGATGAAGGGCTCTCAGGTAGGCTTCATGGCCATGATCATGGGTCATATATGGAGTGGTAATTCATGTCGAGAAGATGGTTGATATTAATGAAGAAAGGGGAGATGTGCGAGTGTGGCCATGGGGGTTGGCAAGCCCTGTGGTTGATGATAACATTAGACTCTGAACGATGAGGTCATCAGGAATGTAAAAGAGTTTAGAAGGAACAAAGAAGGGTGATTCAGGAGACTCTATGCAGTCTTGGGTTGCTTGTTCTCCAGAGGTTGAGGCATGGAAGTTTCTCTGTGTTTGCTGTTGCTGTTATATGCAAAGTTGTTTGACCGATGAAAAGTTGTTTTTGAAAAGGACTGCTGTGGGGAGAAGGGTATACGAGAGAAGCCTGTTCTCAAGAAGAAAAAAAAAAAGAAAAGAAAAGAAAAAAAAGACTGAAAGTCTGCTACGCCATGGGCCCCTCTGCCGCTACAGCCATCGCAGGCCTTTGCTGTTCCGCCCCCTGGTGACCTGGACGTGCCTTTTGACCCAGGCCTATTGGCCTTGAAAAGGAGATGGATATGCTTTTGTTCGATCCAGGAAGAACGGGATACGTAAGGCCCAAAGGCCGAGTTGCTTGACAACTTAAAGCGAGACATATTGTTCAAAGGGAATGGAAAATGGAGACTTGTTTGTAATCAAGAAAAGGAATGGAAAATGGAGACTGTTCAGTCATGGAACTTAAAGGATTGTTTGTTACCTTTTCTGATTGTATGTATGTATAGGCGTACTTGGGTTTAGTATGTAAAGCAATGTTCTGTATGTTTAGAATGTTTGATGTTCATGTGTGCGTGTTGGTAGAGCGTAGACTCCCTGCACACCCAGCACTGTTTACTTGCCTTTTATACCTTTTAGAAATATTCTTTTTATAAATATTACTACATTCAGATTGAGACTTCATTTATAACAATGGCCACGATCACGGGTCAGGTCTGGAAACTAGAAAATACTTTATTTATTGGAACAGACGGCAACAGCAAGCACGGGCGAACACCACACTTTGCGCACTACACCTGGTGGGAAGGAGACCCCCACCCCGTCCCCAACCCCTCCCGCTGCCCCCCAACATGGCGGCCCCTCCCTCCCTCCCCTCAGCGGGACGCAGCGGCCCGGCCCCGCCTCCCCACCCCTCCGCACCGGGGCCGCGCCTGCGCACCGGCCCCGCACCGAGCCGAGCCGCACCGCGCCGAGTCCCCTCCCTCAGCATGGAGGTGGTGCTGGCCGACGCGCTGCTGGCCCGCGGCGGCGACCCCTGCGCGCTGCTGCGGGCCGTGTGCGCGCCGCTGTCGGCCGAGCGCGCGGAGGCGCTGCGCCTGCTGCTGCAGCGCCTGGCGGCGGCGGCCGAGGGCGAGGGCGAGGGGCAGGCGGCGGCGGGCGAGGCGCTGCGGCGGGCAGCCTGGGAGGTGGCGCTGGAGCGCTGCCGGCCGCTGCTGCGGCTCGGGGAAGGGGCGGCCGGGGGGGCGGCGTGCGCCGAGCGGCTGCGGCTGTGCCGGGCGCTGCGGGGCGCGCTGCGGCACTGCGTGCAGCTCTGCGGGGCGCCGCTGGCCGCACGCCTGGCCCGCGACGCGCTGGCCGAGCTGGAGGGAGGAGGAGGAGGCGGTGGGGCAGGAGCCGAGGCGGCGGTGGAGGCGCTGGCGGCGGCGGCGCCTTGGCTGGAGGAGCCGGCGCTGGTGGCGCGGAGCGTGGCGGCGGCGCTGGCGCTGCTGCGGGACGACGGCGAGGCCGAGGCGGCGGCGGCGCTGGCGGCCGGGCGGCTGCTGCCGGCGCTGGGCGGCAACGGCGAGGCGCTGGGCCGCGTCTGGGAGGGGCTGCTGGGGGCCGGCGGGGAGCCCCCCGGGGCCGGGCGGGCGCTGCTGGCGCTGAGCGCCCTGTGCGACGCGCTGCTGCCCCGCGGCGCCGCGGCAGGGCCCGACGCCAGGCTCTGCCCTCGCTTCTGGAGGCTGGTGCAGCAGGGGCTGGCCCGCGGGGACGGGCTGTGCCGCAGGAGGGCCCGCTACCTGCTGAAGAGGGCCGTGGATCTCTGCGGGGGGCAGGCAGCCTGCCTGCGCTGCCCCCCCGACGGCGGGGACGGTAAGGATGGGGGGGAGGCACCGCGTCGCCTCCCGGCCCCTGCTGTGTGTGTGGCCCCCTCCCCGGAGGGCTCCTGTGGCACCGCCTCAGCGCGGTGTCAGCGAGCTGTCTGCGTTGCCTGCAGAGCCCAGCCTCTTCTGGTGGTCTGCCGAGGAGAACGAGGCGCTGCTGCGCTTCTGGGAGACCTACATCTTGGTGCTGGAAACCCTGGAGGGAAACCAGGTGAGGGCGCCGGAAAGCCTGGGGGCAGCTCCTGCGCCATAGCTTCTGGCCCCTACAGTATAAGCATTTCCAGTTTGGGCCATTGAAGGCGTTTAAGCATCGTCAGGCATGATTCATTTTGAATTTTAATCTTTAAAATGCAGCAAGCATAGTTTGGAATGCATTCCCATCTCTCTCTGAAATCTGGTTACGGCTGTGCATTGAACTAAGGAAGGAAAACCCAGGTTGCAGCTTATTGCAAGACCCGTTGGGTTACCCAGCGAGGTAACCCATTTCTCAGCAAAAATCAGGCTATTACACTCAGTAACCTCTTCTTAGTAGAGGACACTACATCTCCAAGTAAAGCACTTTGTGCCCTTGGATGGAAGTAATTCCAAGTTTGACTCAGAGGCCGGTGAACTTGGTAGAAAGATTGCTTTTGACCTGAGACCCTCTGCAGTTGCATGGTATAAATTAGTTGTGATTACCTGTTTGTAGTTTACTTATCTTGCATTATTTGTGCATGATTGTCCTGTAACTGAGAGAATAGTCATTATCAAAGCGTTTAACTTCAGAGGTTTGTGCTGTTTGATTTGAAAGCTTCACATTCTAATTGTGATGAATAGAAGGGTTGGTTATTGGGAAGGATTACCATTATGATACAGTAGCAAAGAAGTAACAATTCGTCTTAATCTGTAGCCTACGATTTCCTGTTGCACACCAAGTCCTTGGATGAGTTGCACAGGCATTGCAGAGTATGTTTGTTTATTTAAATGCAGTTTTATTGTCAATTGCTACATTGATGCTATTGACAGTAAATTCTAGCTCATGACTAAGTGCCAGTTCTTAGATTTGAAATTGTAAACTGACTACTTACATTGTATCTGATTTGCATTTCAGATCCATGTCATAAAGCCAGTATTACCAAAACTAAACAGTTTATACGAACATGCTATATCAGGGGAAAAAGGTAAGACAACATTTTCTGAAGCATCTCTAAAGTATTAGGTGATTAACTCTCACTTTTTTCTTCATTTTATTTGCAGCTTTTTGTTAAGTTTTCACTGTCAGTGCTGTTCTGAGATGCAGCAACAAGAAATCCTACCATATTGCTTATTATCTTATTCTGAAGTTGTTTCTTTTTCTTTTTTTTTTTTTTCCCTGCTAGCAGAACTAACTACCTGGCACTTCCCCTCTATGTTTTGTTTTACTTGAGCATTTACTTTTTTGTTGTTGTTGTTGTTTTTTTTTTTAATGGGAGATTTAGTAGGATATTTTTATAAATCTAGCAGCTGTAATAATCTTTCTGAAGTGTGTTGTGTATTGACTATCGCGTTATCCAGAATGTCAACGTCTTGTATGTGTGTTTGATGAATTTCCTTAAAACATAGATTTGTAAAAAGAGTATACTAATGCGTCACTGTTAATTTTGAAGAGTTTGCTTTTGTAACAGGTTGTTGGTTGTTTCACCCATCATGGCACATGTGCATCTATAAAAGAATGTTTGAGAGTGAGAATAAGACATTGACAAAGGAAGGCATCCTTCATTTTTTAGAGCTTTATGAAACAAAGCATCTCCCCAATTCTCTTGGCTTTTCGGAGGTAAGGATTTTACGGTTACTTGCCAGAACAAGTAGATGTTCTAACTTGTAATGTATCTTAATGCTGATTGCATCAGTGGTGTTGGAATTAGGCATATTCTGTAAAAATACCCTCTTATTTACCTGTGTGAGTGATGGCTATATTCGTAAGTGATGTCAAATATAAAATGAATTGGAAAATAGCCAGGCTGCAGTGAATGGGTTCTTAAGTACAGTCATTCATTCACATATTTGAAGCTAATGCTCTAACTAAATGTACGACCCAATTTATTGAAA